TCAGATCACACTGAGGCCAAAACGGTGCGGCGGTTCGGGAATTTTTTCTTTTTAAGTCACCATCGCTTGTGAAAAAATAACATTACTGTAACATTGTTTCACTAAGTGCTTTCTGGCCGGGAAAAAGTTGTGTATTCGTTTAGATTCCGCCGCAGTTTAGACAAAGACGTCATTGGCCGCTGTCACGCGACGACATTTTCCAGATTCAAGTTTCGTCAGCAGATGGTAATTTCGAGTTCTTTTCTTTTTCTGCCTATTTTTCATCTTACTTTCCCTTTTAATTCTACGTCCTTCTACTTAGGATGGTCTCTGAGCGCCTAGCAGGGATTAAAGTGGCGTTTACCACGCTATCCACGGCCGTATTGCCAACACAGAAGTGTTTCGCCGAAGTAGCAAGATAACGGTAAACACTGCAACTTTGAACGCTTTGTACAACGTCAATATACTTTGGCCGAAAAATGTTTTTCCAGAATCGTAATGTATATCCCTCCAATGTCTGATTCATCACTGTGATTGCTTTCAACAGCGTTGGACTTTTGAGAAATAATTATTTTAAAATCAACTTCAACGCTCTATCTAATTTAATATGCAATATTTGAAAATTTATTTTTTATTCCCTTCGGCAGTTTTTCGATGTTTATCGAATGATATTGCATTAAAAGGCCTTTTTCTTCATCACTGTGTGGTTTTCTCGTTGTTTTGCGTTGCGATAGTGATTTCTGAACCGTGTTTTGCGAGGGCTTATTTTAGGCCTGATTTTGCTGCTACAGACGGAAAAAGTTTGCGGCTCGATATTTTTGGTCTAAAGCGAGACTGAAACAAAAGAAATTCATTTTTGAATAGTATTCGGTAACCTCTACTTGGGAGATAAAAATCGGCCGATTTTATTTTTTAGCCGGAAATCATCGGTCGTTTCTTAGGCGCAGGGCCTCTTAAGTGTTTATATTATAAATGGTTCTAAAATATCTACCTTGTAGTCCGTTTTCAAATACTGTTTTCCCTCTTTCAGAGCTTGCTCGCATCTAACGACCCACTGTCTGTCTCCAGTCCTTGCAACTAATTTTAGCAAATCGTTAAAGGCTTTTGCTCCTTCAGCGGCAAAGTAGTCTAGTCCTTGAAATGACTTTCTTACTGTAGCGGTACACGATGACAATATTCGTAACATTGTGGACGGGCTGAACGGAGAAAAATTCGTCTCCAAGCAGAACTGGTTATACTGATCAATTATGCGCTGTGTTATCATGGACCTTATCACATTAGGTGTTTCGAGTATCTTGCCGTTTGATAGGTACAGGTAGCGTTGGCCAAACGGTAGATCTTGGACCACGTGGGGACTGGTAATGAAGCTTAAAAAATGATCAAGCTGGATTTCGTCTACCCTGAGTCTAGGGCTCTTGGCGGCAGGCAAGGGAACACCGCGTCCATGCTCGATGGAATGTTGGCGAGCTACTTTGATTCTGTAGTCGGTGATGCCAGGAATAAATTGCTGCAAAACAGAGTACGGTGTCAAATCAGCCATTATTGACAACACCTGTCGGCGGGTGTCCCAACTACTTGCATTCTGATAGGTCTCTGCTAACGCTTCCAGGTACTTCTTATCCAACGGAGATTGATTGTCTGTGCCCAAGGCTTTTTCTACAGACTGTGAGCTTTTCATTGCTTCCCATAGGGCTGCCGGGTTTCTAGGAGAAATGACCTCTAACGACGCAACGACAGCATCTTTTGCTTTAGATGCGCGAACATTTTTAGTTCGCGTGCTTAGTTGCTCCCAACTTTTTTTCGGTTGATTCACAGTTTCCCTGCCACATACACTTAGAAATTCATTCAGCTTTAAGCGACGAAGCGTTTGGGTTTCGATTGATGAATCATTCGCACTACCGCTGCTGCTGCCGGTACTTTCTGTAGCGTAAGGGCTACTGTCGAACGAAACAAGTTCGAGGTTTTTCATGGCTTGGCTCAAACCAGAGGCACTTTCATTGTCCTGGAATAGAAAAGAGAAAAGAAGAAAAGAGAAAGCCAAATTAAGAAAGAGAATAATAAAATAATATAAGGAGTTAAGAAGCTATAAGCGACTATCACAGTGATACAAAATAATGACAATGACGATGATTGGGCCGATGATAATGATGAAGATGATGAAAACTGTAGCTTTTATTTAAAAAAAAATTTAGTCATCGAATTAATTCTACATGTTTTGAACTGCAAAACAAATTGCAGATCTAATTTAAAACAATCCTCCTTCCTCCATCTGTTTCTATGTGTGCATGGGGTTTTTTTTCGTTGAGGTCCCAAGAAGGAGCCATTTGAAAACTGTTTCAATTCCAAATCCTGTCTCTGATTCTGATGATAATAATATATTACCGAGTCAGTTTCGTCAGTGTCAACAACTGACAAGACCTTTGCCTTTGCTTGTTGGACTTTGAAAGAAACATCCTCTTTTGTAATGGACGGTGATGAAGCAAATGATGTGCAGACGTCTCGTTTCTCTTTTGCCATTGGAGGGGGGACATCTTCTTCTTGTTTCACACGGGGATGAAGGTACCCCTGATGCAAGCACCAGCCGACATTTTTTACAAATGGCTAAAATTAAAACAGAAAAATAACAACTCATGAGTACATTTCCCATCTTCTTTATTCAGCGATAAAATCTGCGGAATATCCATTTCAGCCTTCGTGAAATAATGCAGTGGAATCTCCATAATCACTGCAAATTTGGTTGGTGTCTGTAACACAGCGAATGTGGTTTTAATCACTGATTTAGACATGCATTTGATCCCCATCGAGTTAGGATTTGGACATAAAGCTTTTTGTTCATGGCAGCTAATTGTTTCTAAATTTTAAGTACCAGTCCCCAGCCTACGCCACAGACCAGACTTAACATCTAGCCGGGTTTCTTTCGACTGCATACACAGTTCCCAGGGACTACAGGATTGTGCAATTCTTAGCATTATCTTTATTACTTACGAGACGCAACTGGAACAAGCACTGAAGTGAGCCTAAAGATCCTTTTACATTGTGGTAGGGTGATACCCCGATCTCCCTTCACTTGTTTACTCTTATGCGCCGCCCAGTCTTTTGGAGCCGAACATGTTCTTTTGCCGCTACGCCATCGTATACCAAAGGCGTCTCGATGTCGTGGACAAATCGACATTTTAATTTGATTATCATCGACTTCGAAAATCCCTGAAACAAAATGTATAAAGAAGCCGTAGTGAATTCATGTAGCAATTCTGTGGTAATCGCAAAATGTGTTAGCTGTTAGTATCAAAAGTTAGAAAGTCAAATTCCGGAACTACGTTGCTGCCTTTGAGAGGTCTTTCGAGTTGCGGCGCCACACATAAACAAATTAATATTAATGAAAAAATTAAAATAAAACGAATGACATATAATAACAAGCAGTAAAAGCGCATCAACTTGATCAACTCATCGGAAAGGCTTTATTTATTTACAGTGCAAATCAGTTACCTGCTCTTGCGAGAAGAAGATCTGCTTCCGTTTTCAAGGACGAATCCAAGCAGTCATATTGGTTTAAGTGAGACTTGGCGTCTTTTGTGCATTTGTCTAGTGCTACACACGTTGCATCTGCAGGATTTGAAGGGCTTGCTCCACAGGGCCCTCCAACAAACGTAGAATATCCACACGATGCCATACGTCAACGAGTGTTGGCTTCAACTCGGAAGCAAGGTGGCTTTGGTACTAGCTCTAAGAATTACTCAACTATCACACGTTTACTTTGAAAAAATTTTTTAGGGTGGAGTTTTTCTTATCTGATTTATCTGAAAGCATTTTTAGACTTAAAGTAAATATTTCAAGATCAGCAGACGAGATAACCCAAGATAGCAGACAACAACCTCGTTCCCAGGTTCTCTCTCCTACTCTTCGAGCAGACAGCACATGGTCCTGGTGCTATATATTTTTTGGGTTTCTAAAGTTTCGCAGTCAGTCCGTTTTACTTTTGATCAGCCCCCTGATTTATCATTTTCACTTTGATCATTGTTTAGTTTCAGGGAGGGTTTATTGCATTGTGCAGCACGAATCTGACTTACCCCACACCCATACAACTGACATTCCCGTCCCCAGTCCCCACAGCTGTGTGTAACGCAACAGATGTGAAGAGAACGTGTATTTAATTTAGCGGTTTTATTTCCAATACCTCTTCCGTTTTTGACAGATAAGTAATATATTTAGTCATATATCCTTATGTAAGCTGACGTGGGCTAAATTGTTCTTTTTAAATGAGCAATGGATAGTCAGTATTGAAACGTGTTGATCTGTGCCGTTCACGGCTGTTAATTCATTGAACAGCAAACGGATTTTGACTGTTAACGGGTTCATTTAAGTAAAAAAACTGGCGAAACAGATGCAAATAAGTCGAAAATAATAAGTATTGTTCCGTTTCAAAGAGATCTGGGGGATTTTGGCCATTCTTTGCCCCAAAGAGCATTTTTGTTGATTTAACACCTTGGAATACCGTGACAAAAGTGGCGTGAATTTGACCTCAAGGGCAACTTTCATTTGGCGCTAGAATATTTTCCCTGTTGGGTTGCCCAAAAATTTTATTGCAATAATTTGAGGAAGACACCTTGCTCTTTCTATCTGTAGGAAAGTTATGCCTCAAAGCCGTATACCAAGAAGTGATTTTGAGTCCGAATTTTGTCAATATTTTGTCTGTCAAAAATCAGCAAATTAGGTAAAATAATTAAAAATCTGAAAAATATCCAGTTTGTTGTCGAATAGGAAAATTTCACATTGAAAATATCATTTAATTTGCACTCTTACTATTAAGGTTTTCAGAAGCAGAGTTTGTTCCTTCTTTAATTTTTAAACGATTTTTAAGTAATGCACTGTCTTTAGCCGGTGAAACCCAACCTGTGAGCCCCCGAACCTGTGAGCCCGCCGCACGCGTAAAAGAAAAATCTAATCGAACTAAAAGTTATTTTTCTAGAAATAGTTTACCTAGAGCTATATTCTGACAAAGTTTGGGGATTTTCGATTTTTTCATTTTGCACGCCCCCAGGCGATATTTACGGACGGCCGCTCTTAAGTATTTACATTATGACATATAACACTCTTTTTGTTTTCCAAACGAAAAAGTAGCATAACAGCACCAACTGACAATAAAATTTTATCTCCAGGCAAGCAAAAGTCACCGCTGCTAAGAGCGCTCTTGTATTTTCAACTTTGTTTGAGTTTGTTTCAAACTTGACCGACTATATCAAGGAAAAACTGGGCACGCCGCCGAGCTTATTCGACAGTTTTTAAGGTGTCATAACGTGAGATGAAAGCATTGTGTCCATTGTTTTAATTTGTACAATTCACAGTAATTTCCTTTTTCTTTTCAAGAGATTTCCATGAATTCAAGTTGAGAATATCATTTCAGAAAATAAGCGGCACGTAACAAGGTCATCAACCACGGCAGATGTGAGTTAATGAAACGCCGTGATTTCTTTCAGAAATTGAGGAATGCACAACTAACTATCACAGATGTAATGAGAATGCTGCGTGCCAGAATACCGTGGGTTCATACAAATGTACTTGCAAAGCTGGATATTCTGGAAATGGCCGCAAATGCGTTGGTAAGTACTAAAGTTTGCTTTAGACATCCATATTTTGCCCTAATACTTCGCAAACTGATTGAATTCATTCTTTTCTGATGTTGTTTGTTAATAAAAAAAGTAGTTTCTGTGTCTTAAGTATTTTTTTTTTTACGGACATCATACTGTATATGTCTGTCTGATTTCGTTAAAACCTGGCCACTGGGTTTTCGGGCTCCAGGCCAGCCAAGTGCCCAAAAATGTAGGGGGCATGACGTCTTGCTCGGTACAGTTGGATAGCCCAGGGACTGCCCTAACAGTGGGTGGGTGGATCAGGCCTTGGGGTCAAAACTAGTGGGGTAGGGAGGGGGCTGTATTGACACAACCCCTTCAGTAAGCAGCAGTGTTCAGTGCAGGCTTTGACTGGCGAGTACCTTCGTCTTTATTTGCCCTAGCCAACTAAATCAGGCCTCTGCTGAAAATGATTATCATGATTATTGCAGAGCTCAGTGGCAGGTGCAGACAGTCGCCCATTGTCCTGGGTAGGGAGGGTCAAAGTCTTGGTACCAAGGATGCACTTAGCATAGGACCTTTAGACACTCACTGAAGCCATGTTTTCATAACTTCAGTCAGATGTACAATGCTGTAATTAAGTTTTACAGTCATCAATTGTAGTCGTAAATTTCTTATAGGCTCTTAGTCTAAGGCGGCAAAAATAAGCCACCAACCTTTAGTGGGTATTTACTGGATTTCGAGCAAAAATATATTTTGCCCTTTTGCTTCGCAAAGTGACTGACTTAGTTCTCCTCTTTGTTGATTATATTTATAAACTAAATAAATATGCTTTATTGTATAGTACAGAACTGTTGTTATTGTCTCTATCTTTTGTGGTCAAAACTTTCTAATAAGCCCCCAGTCTAAGGCGGAACTAACCCTTAGTGGATGGATTTTGAGCATTATAAGAATACTTGCTCTAATGTAGCAGGGAACAACGTTTTACACGAATTTTCATTCCTTCAAACAAAACTATTACGAAAACTGGTAGGTGGACGTCTGTTTGGGGACATATTTGTTTTGACTTTAAGAATTTCATTGGTAATAACGTTATAGTTTGAAAGGAAATTTGGAAGGAAATGTCAAGGAAGGTATGGCTTGTTGTTTTCGGCTCATGAAATCAATAGGGCCGTTTATACGAGAGAAAATAAGCCGCAGCTTAGTATAGCCGCGGCTTATGTAAGACGCGAAAACCCCGTATAAATGGTACAAAATTCATGTTCACGGCTTATTCAACCCAAGGCCAGCTCAAGCCGCGGCTTATCCTGGCCGAGGGGTTTTGGGATGGGCTTATCCAAGCCGCGGCTTACCTTGGACGTGAAAGTGTTCGTATAAATGCATTCAAACGTTGTCCGCGGCTTGCTGAAGCCGTGAACGACTGCTGCGCATGCTCTGTTTTCAATTCTATCCCAGACCTTCACGGCCGAGAGACGCGCGTTGCAGTGGCGGCAAAATGAGTTTTGTTTACATTTACAAAGTGGAAAATGGTGGATAGAGATTCATGTAAAAAAAGACATGTGTGGAGTGCCCCAGAAGAAAAACAAATCCTGCTCATATGCAGCGAGCTTGAGATTCCGGGGCAGCTCGATGTCTGCGTTACCTCGGCAAGCGTAAGTTCTCCGATTTCAATTTTAAATCTGCGCTTATTAAAGTACAAGCTGGCCGCGAACTAAGCCGTGAACCATTTATACGAGCAGTTCGCGTCTAATATAAGCCGTACTCGTATAAATGGTTCCTTTCGCGCCTTATGTAAGCCGCGGCTTTTTTTCTCTCGTATAAACGGCCCTAATGTTTTATAATTTTGTTTTTGTTTTTAGAAATCGACGAGTGTAAGAGCAAAACCCATAACTGTGACAAAAATGCGTTATGTAAGAACACTGAGGGGTCCTTTACTTGCATCTGCAATCGCGGTTACAAGGGAGATGGAAAGAAGTGTAGAGGTAATTATCTAGCGTTCTTTTATTAAAGGTTGGTTTCCACTGTCGCGTAATTTTTACGTGACTGCGTGAGCGCGTTGGTTTTACGTACGTAAGTAAAATGAGGGTTATGTATAAGAGGTCGCTCTCGTAAAGGTAACAGTTGACCCTTGCTAAACGTTACGCGCGTTCATTTTACGCGCATACTCAAGTAAATATTACGCGGCAGTGGAAATCCACCCTAAGTTTTTAATAACCAAATATATTTTATACATCCAGCACACTCACTCATTCCATTGCTTGTATTTATTCTCCCTGGTACCGGTTGTTCAAACGTTGGATAGCACTTTGCATCGGATAAATCACTACCCGGTGGATAAGTTTTAGGGACACTAATTGCGTTATCTACTGGATGGATATTTATCCAGCTTTTGAACAACTGGGCTATGTAACTTCGTAACCCTGTTCCGCACAAGCCACTGGTTTAACTGTAACGTTGAGTTACACGAGGAGAATGTCAAGAAAGAATTTCTAAAGTTATATTTACTTGCCTTGTAAACGTAAAATAGATGGAATTTATGTTTGTCTTTGTTTTTTTTTTAGAAATCGACGAGTGTACAAGCAAAATCCATAACTGTGACACAAATGCGTTATGTAAGAACACTGAAGGGTCTTTCACCTGCACATGTAAAACTGGTTACAAAGGAGATGGCAAGAAGTGTAGAGGTAATTTTAAAAAGCGCGCGCCCTCATGTTCTTAATCACCAATCAGTTAGTTAGGCCGACATCTAAGGCAAGCTTCTATGTTATTCTACAGCAATTTTAGAAGACCTCCATATTTGCATCGGGCATCGCTTTCATTTGGAACATAGAGTGAAACGGATAATGACGAGGAAGAAATTTCTAAGTTTTGTCTACTCGCATACTGAACGTAAAATAAACTGCGCAATTTATGTTTCTCTCTTGTTTTCAGATATAGACGAATGCTCAAGCAAAACCCATGACTGCGACAGAACTGCGTTATGTAAGAACACTGAGGGGTCCTTTAGCTGTACCTGTAAACCTGGTTACAAAAGAGATGGGAAAAAGTGTAAAGGTAGTACACGCAATTATCGCATTGTCTGCTTTTATTAGTCAAATACATTTGTCATAGATTCTTAGCTATGAACTGGAACTAGCCTACGCTACAGGCTTAAGCCGGAGAGTCTGTTCACATGCAATTATTCTTTAATGATTTTCCTTCCTAATAGCCTCAACTCAAAGTTACCTCCAGCAACAGAAATCACTGCTCTTCTGAATGAATGAAGGCAAGCAAGATCCGGGAAGCCGATTACATATATACCTGTATATTATAGTACCATAGATTATAAGTCTCTTTTGAAAACGATTGCAGGCTTGATTAATTTAGTAATGTCGCTTTGTGGAACTATCTTCACTTTTTCTTTAGTTTCATTTTACGCAGGCGAATTGTTAAGGTATTTTTTGATTCTTTCCTTAACCATTATATCAACCACGTTTTCTTCTTTTTTCACCTTGAGTTTACACGAAGATTAAAGTGAAATTCTCGTTTCTCCATGGAAGCTTTGCAAACTTTTTCCAAACAACGAATTCTTCAAAGCTGATCTCTAATAATGATATGTATTTTGTTGTAGCGACACGCGGGCTCTTTTCCTACGATCCCGCTCAATCCTGCAAAGAAATCAAGGACTTAGGTATCTCCAATAGAGACGGGGAGTACTGGATTGACCCAGGAAGGACTAAAAGTCCTTTTAAGGCATATTGTGACATGACAACTGACGGAGGTAAGGTTTGAGTTGCAGCTGACATAGCCTGCGTAGCAGGCGTCGAAAGGGGTAGGGGATAGGGAGGAAAGGAAAAAGGGGAGGGGGATTGGGGAGAGGGGGAGGGGACGCCTGCTCTAAGAACCCCCTTTTGTTCATATCTGCGGACGCTGGCGTCCGCAAATTCCTGATTGGCTGAGCCGTAATGAGTAACATATTGAAATGCGCGTTTCACAAATCAACAAACAGTGGAGATGGCAGCGGTAGACGTGGATGTCGTAGAGAGTGTTTTGAGAGATGAGAATTTATCTAGTGGTAGAGAAACTGTTTTAAAACCAGAGCAAGAATCAGCAGTAACGGCTCTTTTAGATGAGATGAGATGTTCTGGCGGTTTTGCGGACCGGATACGGCAAGAGTTTAATTTACCAAATGTTTGTACGCGCGAAGAACTACGAGCTTAATGGTAATGCGGCGGTTCTCGTCATTTCGCCACTGAAAAGTATTATCGAAGACCAGTTGCAGGAGATGGAATTGTTGGGCTACCCAGCGAAAGATTTAGCCAATTTATCGAACGATGACATTCGCCGATGTAACTTAGCAATAAAAGAGGGTGGTTTTACCTCATGCCAAAATGCTGCTTATTCCAATAAAGTTGTTTTTATCTGCTGGGTAGATTATGCTCTGGAAGGTTCTGCATTTATACTGAGCAAATGTTACACTGAGAGGTCATGACATACATATCGATTGACTGTAGTTATTGTTTTTTGGTCGGCAGGATTTGCGCTCTGATGCAAGCGCAATTTCTTTAATTTCTTTGACCTCTTTTGAAGCGTAAAGCTTTTTTTATTACGGCTGAATAAGGATTCCAATTTTCTCCAAAGTGCCTTCTGGATCTGAAGAAGTAAGCGAATTTCTTTAGTCCGTGAGTGTAATGTTTTTCTGCAATGGCGACTGTAGCGACACTTGATTGACAGTAAGCGTAATCGGATTACTAGAAATTGGTAGGCGTTATGCAAAAACATAGGCTCTTAGAGCAGGCGCCCCCTTCCCTTTTCCCTTTCTCCCTTCCCCTCCCCTCCCCTTTTTGCGCCTGCCACGCAGGCTACAGCTGACACCTCTTTTATGCTGGTACGTTTTAATTTATAAAGGAAGTTCACAAAATATACATTGTTTGCGCCATGTCTCGTTTCGGGGTCAACTTGAGAGACTGTTAGCATCTGCTTAGCGAATCACGGAACTCTTAGTTCGCGGGAGTGATATTAATAAGGCTTCCAGTGATTTTGGCTGTGAACTAAGCACTACTGCTTGTTTTGGCCCACACGACTGATGAAAATTGATTGAATTTCAGGGGGGTGGCTTCTTGTCTCCAAATTTGTTTCGCACGGTTCATCTCCCTCTCAGCTGCCAGTTAAGACATCGTACCGCGGAGTAAGCAGCAAAGAGATGGTACTCTCAAAAAGCGCCATGAAGGAGCTGAGGAAGCACTTGCATTTTACTCAAATAAGATTTCACTGCAAGAAAAGAGGAGGTCGCACATTTCACATCACCACGGCTGCTAATAGCAAAGGCGAAGCAGTTGTCAAATATCTTAGTGGTGAGACAGATGTGATACCCGCTTCATGTGGCTCGTTTGTGATTATGAGCAATGATAACTCGCGGTTAGCAAGACTCTGCCAACATTGGGGATTGGAAAATGGTTATTATAAAGTTGGCAAGTGGGGCCATGAAAGAGATCAGGATAGATTATCCTTCCACACTGCTTTTGTATGGGACTACCCTCGTCAAGGAGTGGGGAATTATTTTTGGAATCTTGACCCAGGTGGCAGATGGGAATGCGACGATTTTAATGTTGGAGTGTCCCCTGGTGATTTTTGGAAAATATTCGTTCGCTAGATAGAAACTTGATAAGTCGAGGTCACCGTAACGAGAGCCTCAGTAAACGTTGACGGGGTTTATTTTTCACGGCGTAGATAAACAGATCGACACTATTATTTGCACCGGTGTCTAGAGTACAAACCAGGGACGGCTTTAATGAGGTCTTTGTCAGATCGTAGTAGTTAGGAAACTGTAGAGTATTTTGTGGAATGGCATTGCAGAAACAATAAAAACTAACTAAATGGGGAATTCAGGGATGTGTGGTTTACTCTTTCCCTGACGAAAAATGGAATTTAGGTTACACTCTAAATCAGAAAGATCTGTTTTAGCCCTAAAAACAGGGCCGTTTCGGTGAGTAAAATACAGCCTATTTTTGGGACTAATTTGGCTCCCTTAAATCAGGGCCAATACAGTCCAATTAGCTAGGGCTGATTTGGTTCCAGGTCTGAAATGGGCCCTACCGTGGGCTGGAATAGCCTTTTGATAGAGCTTTTTTGGCCTAAATTATGCTCAAATGGCTCCAGGAAGGGCTGAACCAGACTTTGGCCTGCAGGGCTGAATTGACACTTTGGGGCTGAAACAGATCTTTTTAATTTACAGTGTAGGTAGCAGCAGCAGCCGTGAAGCGAACTTCCCAGCTTGTTTTATTATTTCTTTCCAGAGGGAGTACTTCCCTGCATCTGCAACCGACTGATCGGAGAGAAATTGTGATTAGGAAGTGCGACGACGAAAAGTCCTTAACTTAAAGTAAAAACTATGTAAAATTTGGGGATAAATTGCTCAAAGAATAGAAAAGTCATGTGGTAAAAGAAAATAGTATATTTTGATTTGAAGTGCCGTGCATATACCTGTTAAGCAAGCTTCACGTATCCACGAGTTTCTCATTTTGGGTTACAAAATGGTCTGAACCGTCCCTTTAGGTGACTTTTTGGTTCCAGACAAGGTCTTCAGGTATCTCGAAATGCTTGGGGCATACGTTTTTCGTGAACTCAAACTTCTTATCAGCTCGAAGACAAAATGCGATCTATTTCTTTATAGATTACTCACGCTATGAAAATCGAATAAGCTGACGGAGGTCTTGCCTTTTTTTAGACCACGGACACGGGTTATTACCTCATTTTTAATTTACAGACCCTCCAGCTCTAGCTCATATGCTTTCAAAAATAGCCGCATTTTACAAAAGCCTCGATCTGATGGTAATTTTTTTTTTTTTAATTTTTAATCGAGTAGAATATTGCCCTAAAACGTTGTGGGACTACTCCGAGAAAAAAAGCCCACAAAAGAGAATTAATGAACAAATTTAATGTTACTAGTAGTTTCCAATGGAAAGTGAAGTGCTGTGAGTAAAGCATGACATTTCAAATAATTTGAATGAGTTGCAGTTTGTTTCGATTGTTGATTTTAATGACATTACCCGTTACAAATAACTGTTCATTTAACGCTTCACGACACGAAGGCGATCGATAAAAGCTGGGATGTTACTAAAACGGGGAACGGGGAGCGGGGAACGGGGAACGGGGAACGGAAGTCTGGGAACGAGTTGTCAGCGGAAACCTCCACAAAAATCCAAAATGGCGGTCCAAAAAACGAGAGAGAGAAAGAAGACGACAAAGAAAGGAATTCGTGCCTTGGTTGAAATCAGATGGGGACGAAATTGCAAATCAGACTCACATTTTACGTTTACGTTTTGAGCAGGTGGTATGTTTTTTCGATATCCAACCTGTTTCATTTACAATATGATAAGGTCTTAGGTCTTAGTTTTCGAGACACCTGGCACACTCACATTACTCCTGGATTACTCCGTTTACTTTAGACCGTCGCTTAATCCTGCCTGTTTATCCCCCTGAATGTTCTTTTTCCCACTCAGACAAACTCTTGGAGAGTAAAGGTTTTATCCAAGCCCATTATAGCGGAGCTCTCGCGCGCGAAGCGCGCTGCGGAGCATCATGGGTAAGAAAATGTGGTAAACTACCCATCCAAGAAAATTTGGTAATCACGTGACCGTACACCGAGCGAGCGAGCGACCGTCCGTCCGCACCACAGGCATACCAATGTAAAATAACTCAATCTTGTTTTTTACAATTTTTTATAACTGGGAAAGCTTGTTGTTGTTGTTAGTGTTATATTAAAGTCATTGGGTGATGAGTTATGAATCGTTTAAGGTCAGGGTTTGGCATTGAAAGCAGGGTTAAGCACTGACTTCAAGAAGGTGGTGGACAAAACACTGACCCCCATTCCATGAACTACCCCCAATGACTACCCTAAAATGGACTATGCCACTGAAGTTAAGTGATTAGGGTTAGGAAACTGAGTGAATCGGGTTCCATTTAGGGTCCTTATACTGGGAAAACTGACCTAAAACTTCATTCACTCAGTTTCCTAACCCTAATCACTAAACTTCAGCGGTGTAGTCCATTTTAGGGTATGTCCATAAAGTGTGGGTCAGTGTTTTGTCCACCACCCTTCAAGCATGCCAAATAATACAGAATTCAGCATGTACTGGCACAGATTAAGGAAAAAAGAGAAACCAAAAAAATGAAGGTGCCGTGAAAATAATTATGATTTAGTTGTGCTTGGTTTTAGTGATGCATATTCACTATTGTATACAGTGCTTTTCAACATGTTTTGTGAGTGTAGTTTACATTATAAAATCATCACATTTTCTTAGTTTACTTTAGAATGAAAGAGTCCAAGGCTAAGTTTTAAAATAAGCCAAAAGAAATGGGATATGCTAATTGCTTATCCAGATTGCACCATGTTATTGCCTTACATGAGGTTGTTTTAACAGCATATCAAAGATCAAAGTAAAAGAAAATTTAACTCTTCAAGTCCCATGATCGACCGAAATCGATTTTCTCGAAACAATATCAATACATTATCCAGAGGAATGTTTATGACAAGTAATGAAATAGTCACCAAAGGGAAAATGCTTTAATCTTCAACCAAATTCTGTCATATAAATCTTTAAGGAAATGTAAAGAAACTTGTCTGAAACAGTTTAAATTCCTAAGTGGCCACCTAAATACTTTTATGATATTGTATAGTTCCCTTCATATACATTACTCTTTAACAAAAAGGGGGCCAGTTCATGTCTTTATATCAAGCGATAACGGGTTGATAATAGAACCCTATAGTTTTGTCAGTCAATGAGGAACGTTGAGTCGACCAGGTCTCGTAGAACACAAACTTTAATCTCTTCAGAAGTAGGTTACACTCATAGAGCTAGTGACATACTAACAGACAGAAAAACTAGTCTAGGGGTTGCTTATATACCTTAAAGAGGGGATTTCTAGAATGTTCCAAACAAATACATAATCAGTCTATTTACAGAGACTTACATAACGTTTGGGATAATAATAGAGATTAGCAAACTGACATTCTAGAATGTTCTTATCTAAAAAAGCAAATGTAGATAAATTCCAGAAAGTTCTAGATATCATAACACCTATGCCAACAAATTGTGATAGTCAAGAGATCTCTACCAAAATCCTTCACAACAAAGGAGTATCTTTAAAAAATGATTAGAATTTGCTTTTACACCCATTTTATATTCAGAATGACATTTCAAATTGATTTTGATATTTGTATCTTTTGACCATAACTAGGTTATAAGGGGAAAACTGAATAATTGCCTCAAACCCTTTCATCTCCATAGAGAGTGAACTGGCAAAAATTCCCTTTAGACCTTTTACTGTAAATCCTCTATTCAGCCTCCCTCTCCTTAGAGGACTACAACAAGACAACCATGAATGTACCACTTCCTTGGCACAAAAAGGTATTGGTACAAATCATGCTATATGTTGACAGTAGTCAGTGCAGCATTTCTAGTATGTCTCTCACTCTCTTTAGCCTTGTGCCATGTAATATTGGCCTAAGCATTCAGGAGGGGGTATGGTAGAGGACTGACAGTACAATTTGTTGTGTTTATATTAGAAAAAAAACATGCACTCTAGTAAAGGCCAGGAAAATGCCGGTTTAAAATTAGGCCACGTTATGGGTCAAGGAGTTGAAATTATAGAGGCAATTAAATAATTGAGTCGATGAGTCATGAGTCAAGTGAAAAACTTCAAATATCTCGGATTAACTGTTACTATCTGCTTTAAACAAATACTGGTACATACAGTAAATATAGTGACAAACCTGAATAAACACTTCTTGAAGGGTGGTGAACAAAACACTGACCCACACTTCATGGACATACCCTAAAATGGACTACACTGCCGAAGTTTAGTGATTAGGGTTTAGGAAACTGAGTGAATGAAGTTTTAGGTCAGTTTTCCCAGTATAAGGACCCTAAATGGAACCTGATTCACTCAGTTTTCTAACCCTAATCACTTAACTTCAGTGGCATAGTCCATTTTAGGGTAGGCATTGGGGGTAGTTCATGGAATGGGGGTCAGTGTTTTGTCCACCACCTTCTTGAAGTCAGTGCTTAACCCTGCTTTCAATGCCAAACCCTGACCTTAAACGATTCATAACTCATCACCCAATGACTTTAATATAACACTAACAACAACAACAAGCTTTCCCAGTTATAAAAAATTGTAAAAAACAAGTTTTAGCCGTTAGTTTTAAATACTAATAGCTGTACAAAGTTTGACTCAAGCACAGAACGCGAGAACACTATGTGTACATGCATTAATAAATTCCACGTTTATTTCTCATTACAATGCCTGCGAGTTATTTACCAAGCATTCTCAAAACAGGGGATATAATGGGCTTGGATAAAACCTGTACTCTCCAAGAGTTTGTCTGAGTAGGAAAAAGAACATTCAGGGGGATAAACAGGCAGGATTAAGCGACGGTCTAAAGTAAACGGAGTAATCCAGGAGTAATGTGAGTGTGCCAGGTGTCTCGAAAACTAAGACCTAAGACCTTATCATATTGTAAATGAAACAGGTTGGATATCGAAGAAACATACCACCCACTACGAGCCTCGGCGCTCCGGAAGTTAAAAAATTCGTACCGTCTGGTTGCTATGAAGTGACGTAATCATCCAGTTGAGTATCCATCACCGT